GTTGCATCCCAATTACTTCGTTACAAATCAATTTATTACTTTAAAATCTTTAAAAAAAAAATCGATAAAAATAAATATTCCTTAGAAAAAATTTAAAAAATTGTTGCTCTTTTTCTTTTAGAAGACGTTGTTCATTATTCATTTCGTATGAATTTTCAAATTCTTACTTTAAATCTAAAATCTCAAATATTTTTTTAGAATGTTCTAAAGTAATGACTTTAAATTTTCTGGAAAAAAAAATATTTAAGTCGCTGTAGCTTGGTAAAAAGTCAAAAATCTTTTTTTTTCAAAGTTACAGCAACTTGTAACGAATTGCAAAGAGAAATTTTTAGAAATTCGTTATTTTTTTTTTCGCTTACTTCCCCCCTTGTAACTTTAAACGTTTCTTGTTATCAAATCGGAATCCTTTATATAAAATTTCATCGATTGACAATATAGTTTCATATATAGTAACCTTAAAATTGACTAGATAGGTGTGTAAAATTTAAAATTAATGCAAAGTAGATAGAAATTCAGAGTCACTAGATTATTCTGTTGCAAGCTTGTTGAATAAATTCCTCAAAATTGAAGTGAATTTTATAAGTGAGGTAATACAATATTCTGCTTTAATATATATATTTTTTTTTTTTCTCTCTTTATTTTACTTTTATAAAACGTGATATAATACAGTAAATGTTGACAAGAATAACATTATTTATTTATACTAATAATAGCAATCTTATACAAATATTACATATTCTGTACTGTACTTCTACAATATCAGATATTGAGTTCCTTTTTTTCAGATCTTTTCTTCCGATTTTCCTTTTAATTTCAATTTGAGTAGCTCAGAAATGCAATATTTTTTTTAATTTCATAGAAAGGACAAGAAATTATGAATTATAATTCGCTTTTTTAATTAAATAATCTGAAGATATTTTCGTGAAAATTAACTTTGTTTGCTTAACTTTGTTCATGACACATGATATTTTTTTTCCATTTTCTAAAGGTGTTAAGTATCTAGAGATGATTTAGATGTGCTGTAATGATAAAAAAAAAATAAGTCTAAGAACAAGATAATTTTTAGATTAAAATTCATGAAAGATGAACTGTTCTATTGATTAACCTATTCCATTGTTTGATTATCCTATTGACGATGATGTTTTATTCAATAAGACTTTAAATGCTTCTCAATTGATATTATACGAGAGTTTTACATTGCAACCAGCAAAAATTTTACAAGAACTGTGTGATTTTTTTTTACAAGAACGAGTAAGATTTTCTTAAATGAATGATAAAAAATTCATTTTTATTATCTTATCATCTTGATAAAGTTGCAAACAATATTATAAATAAATATATATATATATTTACAAATTTAGCAATTAAAGTTGATANCATATATAGTTTATATATATAATTTTCGTGTCGAAATCAGTTTATAATATGTCATACGTTTCGATTTAGTAAAGTACAGAGAGAAATATTAACTAGAAACTAATATTAGGAAGCACGAAAAGGTAGTGGTCACTGGAATTTTTAATGGTAAAATATTAATGTAGTGATGTTATGGTAAACACGACAATATGTTTTGATAAAAAAATAATGGATTTCATAGTAAATGCGATCGTTTTTTCACAAAATAATGATAGATTTTATGATAAATTTGATCGTTTTTAATCATAAATATGACGAATTTACAAAAAAAATTGTTTTGATAAATATTTTTTATGATTAATAAAAACAAATTTTTAAAAGTATTTTTATATTTCTAATGCAATATATTAATAAGAAATGTGTTTGTTTATTAAATTTTATTTTATTTTTATATATATATTTAGAAAATAGATAAAAGTAAATATGAACTTCGTATGTCTTTCGTGTTACTTTTATACAGTCTAAACAACGAGTTGCTGAGAAATAATCTTAAGTAGAAGTAAGAAAACGTGACAAGATTTACAAATTGATGGAGAAATTCAAACAACAAGACAATTTATTATATTTTTCTCAACGTTCTAACTTAATATTTTTACGAAATTAGATATAAAAATTCTTGTTTATCAACAAGAAGTCAAATATTATCACATGTTTGAAAATTGCTGTAAACGAAACGAAAATATTTTTCGTTAATTAAAGAGGGAATTCAATATTTCGATGTAAAATATTGATTCGAAGATCGTTTTCCTTTTAAGTTTTCGAGGTAATTAAATAACTGTTAATGACATTTACTTCCTAAAGCAAATTAATTTAGAATTACAAAATTTATGACTCGTCTTTTATATAATTTTATTATTTTTTTCTTTTTTTTTTATAATTGAAAATAGCAGAATGTTTAACTTTCTTATTATTATTATCAGAATGAATATTTTTCTATTTTAAAATTGATTTATAAAGCTTTAAATCATATACAAAAAAACTGTTTGATAAAAATTAATCAAATTTATTAAACACTTACACGATGATAAATTTATTTATTTAACCAAATTTTTATGGAGAATTTTTATGGAGATTTTATATTATTTCTCTTCACGTTTTTCAGATATTCATCCAAATGTTTTCGTGTGTTCGTTCTTCGTGAAAACATAAAGAATGAAGGTTATCTGAAGTAATATCTATCACATGTCTTTCTTTGAAATAAATATGAAATCCAGAGCTGTAGTCGAAATGATAGCTGTATGAACATATCTGTAAATTGCAAATTCAAACGTCCAACAATGACCGAATGGACAAAAACACCGAATACTTGAACGTTAGTCGTGTGGGTTCGTGTCTGACCAACGGACTGGTTGCTTGAAGTTTTTTCGAGTTTTCTTCGGATTCTGAATAGAGGCTCTTAAATATGTGCCAGTTTCCTATAGAAAGTCTTCCCGGGAGACACCCACTCCTTAGTAGATTGTCTTTGTGCTGCGTTGCCTTATCTCAATAATCCAATCCAATTCAAATCCAGAGTGATATCTGAAGACATTTCACTGTGGATTTTGTAGATATCATTTCCGATTCGATATAGATTTCGACATCATTCAGATTTTCATGTATTACTCTAGATAACACTCTTAATCACACAATTGTATTCTGATAAGTAGATATCAGCTATTTATTAAGACAATATTGTAGATATCTTAAGAAGTAAAAATATAATCCTAGACTTCATTTTCTTTTTTTTTTGTTTATTGATTTTTGGCTATCGTTCGACGTATAGATGTTTTCGAATAGTTATTTTCTGATATTCATATATCTTCACATATTATTTATATCTGCAAACATTTGTTTTTGGAATAGAGTTATAATGTCTGACAACAAGTTATTTTCAGATATAAATACGTGTAGATATTGATTCGACTATTTCCGTTTAGTCTAAGAATTGGAAAAGATTCACGGTTCTTTTTTTTCTGTTAAAAAAATAAAGACCAGGTGTCATCGATCTCACCAATCAAACCCTATACATCTCTTGTCGACTGGACATCACGAGAACTACGTTCTAAATCCAATCGTGAGAATCTTCCAAGCATTTATTTCGATACGCCTCCATAGAAAAGAGAAGAGAAAAAAAAACATCCAGTATTGATTTCGAGAAGTTTACAAGAGTTTGAAAAAGTTGAAAATCAATTCTTCTTCTATTTTTTATTCCTTTTGTTAAAGTGATAACGTTAATAAAGTTTCTTTGTTAATTTCGAACGGGTTTTTACTTTATTTAAATCTATTGATAAAACACTTATACAATATTGAACTAGTTAAGAGATTTACATGTAGAATACAGTATATAATTTTTTTTATTTTTGCATATTTTTTTAAAAAATACAGGAAAACCTGTGTAAAACGGAATCGCCCACTTTTAAACAGGTGCTTTTTTAACGTAGAAAATCGTTCCATTTCGAAGAATTTCTCCGTTTAGGCAGGTTTCCGTCTTATTCAAGTTCCGCTTTACGCAGATTTTACTGTATTTTAAAACTGTGGTGTTTTATAATTATATTAATTTTATACATAAAATGTAATAGAATATAAAAATAAGAGATTATTTGGAATAGGTTCATAAATAGTCAACAACCGAGAGAAGCCGCGATCTACTGGTTGGGTAACTTAATAATGGTTGTTCGTGATATTAAACACGTGTTCCTAATTATATTACAACATATCTTTTACAGACGTAAGTATAAAGTTGAGAAACATTATTCTAAATATGTTAAAATACTTTGCAATTGCAATTATAAAATTCTAAAAATGTACAGTACGTTATAAATGGGTTTAAAAATTCAACAGAGGGAAGGAACTAGATGTTTATAAAATAACTTTAATAAATTCTGTTTCTGGCTAAGTTTAATTCTCATTAAAAGAGGGAAGAAATAAACTAAAAAAAAAGAAAAACAGAAGAATGAAAAATGTAGAAGTCTAAATTGGATCTTCAGATATTGTTAAACTTTAATCCCAGAGTTAATTGAGATATTAATCATTTTGTGGTTTTACAAAATTTAATTTGTTAAACCAGAAAAATGCAAATTACGATGCCATCATGTTTCACAATATATTTAATTCTTTTACTTTTATTTCTTTAAAGAAATACTGAATAGTTTTACAAAGCTTTTCTGGTGCATAATATATACATATATATAAAGAATTAGAATTGATTTATCAACAATTTCTGATCTTTATTAAAATAAAGAGTTTTAAAAGTATATTTGTGAAAGCTCTAAACTTTCTATTTAAATTACAATTAATTTTTATAGATTTATACTTTAAAACATTTTGTAAAATGCACATACGGTTTTAATGTTTGAAATTTTGGCAAAATTTATCATTGTAATGCATGCTTAAATATGTTATTTTGAAATTTGAAAGCTGTGCTGAAGTACTTAGAATAATAATAAAGTTTACTACAATGTTAATTTTTAAAATAATGCACACTCTTAATACTTTGTTTCATATTTATATGCTATTTTGCAAAGAACATTATAGTAAGAAAGTGTTAATACTTTGTCTGCGAGATGTATGATTAATTAATATATATTTTAAATGAAATATTTTAGGAACTCCTCTGTGGTTGTTACTACACGTTGCTCCGATAAAAAACGAAAAAGACATGGTGGTCTTATTTTTGCTCACGTTTCGGGATATAACGGCTCTGAAACAACCTCTAGAGGATGACGCTTCTAAAGGTAAACAATTTAACTCACAGATGTTTTAAAATTGTATTTTTTGTTAATTATCTCCCTTTCGCACATAGGTTTAAGTAAATTTGCAAGATTAGCAAGATCCGTTACTAGAAGTAGATCAGTTTTAGTTCAACAGTTTTCTATTCATTTACCAGCAGTTAAGTCTGATAATGTGAAACAATCGCAAATAGCTCATGTAAGTAATAAATAGATTAAAAAGTAATACGTTAGAAAAATGAATTTATTAAATATTTTTAAAAAAAAATTTATTTTTAGATGATGAGTTTAAATGCGGAAGTTCTTCCACAGTACAGACAAGAAGCACCAAAAACACCCCCTCACATCCTGCTTCATTACTGCGCCTTTAAAGCGATTTGGGATTGGATTATCCTTTGCCTTACATTCTACACGGCAATCATGGTACCTTATAATGTTGCCTATAAGAACAAAACGAGCGAAGATGTCAGTTTGTTAGTACTCGATAGCATTGTCGACGTTATATTTTTCATAGACATTGTTCTTAATTTTCATACTACTTTTGTTGGACCGGGAGGAGAGGTAGTATCAGATCCTAAAATCATTCGAATGAATTATTTAAAAAGTTGGTTCATTATCGATCTTCTCTCTTGTTTGCCTTACGATGTGTTTAACGCCTTCGACCACGATGAAGATGTAAGAATGTCCTTCTTCTTCTTGTTTCTAACAACTATCAAATTACTGTTAACCATCTAATGAATAATTTATTCTACAGGGAATTGGAAGTTTATTCAGTGCGTTGAAAGTTGTCAGGTTGTTGAGGTTAGGAAGAGTGGTAAGAAAGTTGGATAGGTACTTAGAATACGGAGCTGCAATGTTGATCCTCCTGCTATGTTTTTACATGCTGGTGGCTCACTGGTTAGCCTGCATTTGGTACAGTATCGGAAGGAGCGATGCAGAAAATGGTTACACTTACAGTTGGTTGTGGAAATTAGCTAATACCACTCAGAACTATTTCAAGTACAATATTTCGGAAGAGAAAAATCAGATGGAATTAGTTGGTGGACCACCACGCGGTACCATGTATGTCACTGCACTGTATTTCACCATGACTTGCATGACTAGCGTTGGTTTCGGAAATGTTGCAGCCGAAACGGATAACGAAAAAGTTTTCACAATTTGTATGATGATTATCGGAGGTAAGAAACTGAAAAATAAAGAAATTTCATTTATATTATTTTATTTTTTTTATTCATGCAGCAAGTTTTATTCTCGAACATTCTGCCTTTGGAAATTCAATTATTAAAAGATAGACTTTTAATTATGTTAGAAGAAAATTGGTGTTATGCTGTAAAATATTCTTCCGAATTTGCAAAATATTGTAATCTGCTTGGAGAAAAGGTAATTGTAATGAACTATTTAAATAATGAATCTTATTAAAATGTGAACTATTTAAATAATTTATATAGATGTAATTGTTAAATTTAATATAATTTAAATAATATTAACTCAATATTACAATAGAGCATTGATTATCCAAAACAGTTCGGGATTGGGATTGTTTGGATAACTGATCATGTATGAAAAAATATATTAACCTATCCCACGTGGAAATTTTTCTCTGTTGCATATCACTTCACGTTGAATTTTCGTCAATGTTAAGTCTAACGAAAATTTAAAAAAAAAAATAATTGTGGCTATTGTATCGTTAAAAATTATTTCTTTATTTTGCACAAACAAAATAAATATTGAAAAATATAAAAACAAAAAAAATTATATTTCGGAAGTTAATCTAGTTTCAAAAACGTTNACTATTTTTTTTTAAAATATAATTATTTTGTAGGTAAAGGGGATGTTTTTGGTGATGCTTTTTGGAAAGAACCAACGATTGGTCAGTCTTGTGCTAAAGTATTTAGAGATATTAAAGATTTCACGTGACAGTGGCCAAGAAATTCTAATTTAAAAATGTTTTTTACACATTAACTGTAGAGAGGGAATTCATTTATTTCGTGGTAGTGAATATTTCACTATACTAATGAATTATTCATCGTGAAATCTTGGATACCAATAAAGAAAGAAGTTTTCAATCTTTATTTCTCCCTTAGCCCTCCTTTATGCAACAATTTTTGGTCACGTGACAACTATTATCCAGCAAATGACGTCGGCAACCGCTCGCTACCACGAAATGTTGAACAACGTTCGAGAGTTCATGAAATTACATGAAGTTCCCAAAGCATTAAGCGAAAGAGTAATGGATTATGTAGTGTCTACGTGGGCAATGAGTAAAGGTATCGACACGAAAAAGGTAATTATCAATTTATGGATGCGGATTGTGTTATTTCTTTAATGACATCGTATATAAAACTTTTGTTTTTCACAAAGAAAACAACTGAAATCACAGTTTATCAATATTTGCAGCTAGCTGTACTTTAAACGTATTATTCTATAGATACTCGTTTTAAAAAACTCTATTAATTAAACTCCTATTATAAATTCATTTTTAAAATTTGGTGAATACGTAATTTCAAGATAAAAGAAAATAAAAATTAAGTTTTTATTTGAAGAAGTTTAATGTGAAATCATTTATTGCAGTTGCTGGTTGAACTGTCTGAGCTACAATTTTTTTTTTAAATCTTCTTGTTTCAAAGGAACTTTTTCCGGGTAAAAATAACAATAATAAATTTTTGTCCTATTCTCGTCTAAATTTGTAAAATGTATACTCACTGTATATAAAATACTTAGCGTAAAATCGTCGCGACACTAAAAACAAAATAGAAACGGCAGCACCGGAAATCGATGAAACGTCATGAAATTTTTGAACAAGCGAGCCGAGATTGAACGAAACGAAGCAAAGGATTGTCCTTAGGGAGAGAAGCAACAGGAGTACAAAAAGGCGAGAGAAGTTAGAGGAGTAGGAGGGTTGAACCGCCCAGCGCGCGGTAGATTGAGCGAAAGAAGCGAACGAGTGGGGGTTTGTCTGGGGGGTGATTCCTCGAGAGGGTTGAATCGTCACGAAATTTTTATTATGAATAAGCTATACTGAGAAAAAGTGGGCCAAGTCCGTGGGGCAAGCGAGCGAAGCGAACCATATAACCACGGAATTGAAATGTTTTTCTGTGAGACGTTCAAAAAATTGTAATGTTTGACCGATTCTGGAAAAAAATGTTTTTTTGTTTTTGAGGTTTTTTGTATTTTCGATTTTGATGGAGAAAATATGAAAGGAAAGCTTTTTATTTAATTTGAATAAAAGCTATTTTTTTCCCAATTAATTTGAGTGTGGATGTGCATTTCGAAACTGATCTGAATCTACTTTACGGAATCCTCATTTGAAATAAGATAGATGAAGGAATATATATTATTAAAAATTTTTTTTTTATGAATAGTATATATTGGAAACAAATAGGCGAAAAAAGCAGGAAGATGAGCCACCATAGGCAGCAATGAAACAAAGTCCCCTAGTTAGATAATAAAATCACCAACATTTCTAATTAAAAAAAACTAATTTACTTTAATTTTATATTTCTAAACTTTTACATCATAATTTTACATGTAAAAGTTTTGAAAATTTGAAATTTTTTATGCAGAATCATGCGTAACATCGCAAAATCTCTTTTACTCTTTATGGATCATATATTGTCATTTCGATTCAAATAATTAATTCAAATAAAAAACATCATTTTAAAATATTCAAAATATTTTCAGGTCCTTAGTTATTGCCCTAAAGACATGACAGCAGATATTTGCGTCCATTTAAATAGAAAAGTATTCAATGAGCACCCAGCATTTCGTTTAGCTAGTGATGGATGCTTGAGGGCATTGGCTATGTACTTCAGTATGGATCATAGTGCCCCAGGTGACCTTCTCTATCATACAGGAGAGAGTATAGACACTTTATGTTTCGTAGTAACAGGATCTTTGGAGGTGATTCAGGATGACGAAGTGGTTGCAATATTGGGTAAGTTTATAAAAATAGAATTATTTTTCGTTCTATATAGTATCTCTCTTATATCTGTCATAATATTTAAATAAATTTAGTTAATTTAAGTGATATTGATGAATAAATTTCATTAAATTAAAAATTAGTAATGAAGGAAAAGTTGTAAGAAGCAAACATTAAAAAATTTAATACTGTAAATAATAGAAATACGAGATAGATAATATACTAGCTTTATTTAAATTTTAATGATACGATTTTTGTGTTAGAAATTTGTTACAAATCGATAATTACTTTCCCATCTTTGTTCCATTATAAACGAATTTATTTATAGAAACTCATAAATAATGCGATAATAGAATATTGAGAGAATTTTTGTTATAGAAATGAAAAGACGATTTTGAAAATGGATAATTGTCTAGCAGATGAATTTCCTTCAGAACAAAAAATAAATTACTTTTTTAAGAATAATCATTTTAGTCCATAAAAATAAAAATAATTTAATCTTTATGCACTCTTTTCCTCCCCTTTTTAAATACAGGAATTAAGTATTAAAATCTTGACTATTTTTTTTTAAAATATAATTATTTTGTAGGTAAAGGGGATGTTTTTGGTGATGCTTTTTGGAAAGAACCAACGATTGGTCAGTCTTGTGCTAATGTCAGAGCTTTAACGTATTGCGATCTTCACGCTATAAAACGAGATAAACTATTAGAAGTGTTGAATTTTTATCATGCTTTTGCCAATTCTTTTGCGCGAAATCTTATCCTCACCTATAATTTAAGGCACAGGGTAAGTTTTTTTTTGTCAAATGTTTCTAACCTTTGTACTCTAAGAAAATCAATAGTGGTAAGCATCTTAATATTACAGAATCTTTAATTCTATACAGAAATTGACTAACACGATCTCAAATTTTCAATCTATTTATTTACTATATATGCAATTATGCTATTTAAAAACTATTTTTTATTCTTTGATTGTGTTAATTGATTGGATATTTTCTTTCTGCAGTTAATATTTCGAAAAGTATCGGATGTAAAAAGAGAGCGCGAATTGGCAGAGAGAAGAAAGAATGAACCACTGCAAGAACTATCTCAAGATCATTTAGTGAGGAAACTGTTTTCAAAATTTCGAAGAAACGGCCAGGAGAATAGAATTGGTAGTGCGACTTCTGATGTAGAAAAAGGCGTTGCGTCCAGTCCTACAGATGGACCGAGTGAATGTGCCAAATCAATTAACCGTTTTATCCATCCAACAGATAACACAGATAAGAGTAATTCAACAAGCATCAACAAGTTTACAAAATGGAGTTCTAGTACCAGCGAAGACAACGACGGAGACAATAAAGAAAACCATTTGTCTTCAGACAATGTCCTTAAAAAACCAGACTTATTAAAGAAGAGCGATTTTTTGCATGTGGTTAAGGATGCTCGTTCGGCCTCGACTGGAGGAAGCGGCAATCGAAGTTTATCGAAATGGTCTAAAGTTTTAGGTAGGCAAGAGACTATCGAAGAGTCAGTGGAAGAACAAAATGGGGGAGGTCTTAAAACTTCTTCTTCTTCCTTGACAGATAATAAAAGTACGAGAGATCATGAAAGTGGAGGTGGAATCGCAGGAACTAGTGATCTGATGCCCTCGAGGAATTTATCTAGTCCAGAATATCAAAAAATACTTTCAAACTTAATGGACATGAGAGTCGATCTAAAATTAGAACTGCAAAGACTTAATAACAGAATCAATAGGATCGACGAAAATCTAATCGATCTACTAAAACATTTTCCTATAAAACCTTCGAATTCTCGTTCACATCCTCCACTACGCGAACCGGCCATTTCTCTCCCTCTTCTTGTGCTGAGATCAGACAGTCACAGTAGCAGCTATCCAGAAGGAGAAACGAAACGTAACAAGAATGGAATTATGAGAATGGAAAGTGTGCCAATGGTTAGAAGTGAAGAAAAAGCATTATTAGCGAGAAAGAGATCGAAATCTAAAGATACAATATCTGTTAACTCTTCTCCAACAGACTCTGTGGTTAGAGCAATGTTAGAGACTGAAATTGAAGAACAAGATGCAGATGAAAGTTCACAGAGGAAACACAAAGATTAATTCCATGTAACTCACAAATTATAAAATGACTCTAGAGCATCAAATATTTTTTGGTTATTAGGTAAGTTGCTGCATCGTAGATGCAATGGCGCGTTCTGTAGCAATTAGGATTGAGACTCAGCACGATTGAGGAGTTATAAATCAAACTGAGAGAATCGAATAATCCATTCGAATAACATCTTTGGTGCTTGAAAACTCATTTAAACATAAATTGCTACAAATTGCCTTACTTACATTTCAACATTTAAACTGGTTAAAAGTTAAAATTTAAATGTTCCTTATCTCTAAAATCATAAAACATTAAATCAAAACAAATTACTATATACATATACATATATATATGTATATATGTAAGCCTGTATGTATATATATATATATGTTTCTGCCAATGCCAAAAGTTAAATCTAAAATTTAAATATATTATCATCCAAATTAGTTATATAGTAATAGCAATGTGAAGAAAGGAAGTTTTATTGGCAAATTTTGGTGTAATAAAGGATATGGTATATAATAAAGGATGCAGTTGCCAATCAATAACAACAGCAAGAAAGATATACATTTTTGCAATTAGTAGTTTAAATTAATTACCAAGACACATGATAAAATAGTCATCTTGCTAGAATAAATTAGAAAGAAACAATGTTGCATTGATTACAGATTTGTATTTAAAGTGCAGGCATTTGGTGAAAATCTATTAATAATTGTGAAATACATTAATTCATTTTAATAATTAATTAATTTCAAAATAAATATTTTGACTACGTAATATTAATGGAATCAAAGTACAATTGTTACTGAGGCCGGCTTTTACGTATAGACTTTACTGTACTTATAAGCAGGATTTGTTAGTTTTGATTGCATTGCACGACATTATTTTTGAAAGAGCTTAAACGATATGGCACAATTAATAAGATTATTTTTGTATTCATTTCAAAACATAAGTAATAGTAAATTCATTAAATTAGTCAATTCTTTACACTATCCTATTTAAAAATATGCTATCAAAGAGTTGATCAGTTTGTTTTTTTTTTTTTCTTTTTTAGCATACTTGCCAATCATAGCTTATAGATGAGGCTGACTTGGTAGCTAGGAAAGGCTAATTTTGAAATGTAAAAGCTGAGAAATAAAAGCACAGTTTGCAGAAAGACTGTAGTCGACACTTTCAGCAATTTTAAGCACTTTTTCAATCTTCATTCTCTTTATCACAATAATTTGGCTTTTCCTACTAGCAGATTACTAATAGTAAAAACATAAGAGTACAGAGTAATAGTACATTGTACCATATATATAATAACTATTATATAAAAAGTTAATCCTCTATAGAAAAAAATTTTCAAAAATTAATAATTCCTTATAACCTATAGCCTAGAGAATGTGATTTTGGCATGTGACTTAGATTTACAAGAACTTTCAAATTTACTTTCTGGTACGAAAGAGGGGAAGATTTTGTATATCGATCTCGTTTTGATACAAAATTTCATACGTCAATTTAAAAGAAAATTAATTTTTCGTAATTTAATTATACAGTTAAAGCTGTCATTTCGTATGAGCAGGGCAACGTTGAACTCAAAGGAAATGTTAATATTGGAGAAATGGACAAATTCTTTTTAAAAAAAATCCATTATACAAGCAAAGTTGGGATTTTGTGAAGACAATGCATTAAGAATGTAATGGAGACTATCTAATTTAGAGACTGACAGGCTAACAACTGCTTCCAAACTGCGCAAAAGAGGGAGGGTTGGCAATTATGTTTTAGGAATTTGAGATCCACAATTTAAATATTTCATTTAAGTAAATATTTTGTTTATAAATTAGAATTTTTTAGAAAATATTTTCTTAATCTTTGTAATATCTATAAACTTGAAAACTGAATTAAATTAAAAATCTTTTATTGTTTATAAATTTTCTAGAGTGCAGTTTGAAATAACAACAAATAATCCTAACTTTTAAATTTATTTTTTAAAACACAATGTAAATATTTTAATAGGATATTTTTTTTTTATAAAATGTTAAAATTTAATTTAGGATATATTCCATAAATTTAATTCTTGTTTTTAGAAAATATTTTTCAAGTTTTCCATATCTGAGAGGAAATACTCTAGTTTATTGCAAGGGGTGATGGAACATATCATCATCTCTGTGCAACTATTTTCCAAGAAATTTTTAATTTATGAATTATCAATGAATGTATTTTACATAGTGTTTTTCTAAAATATTTTTGAATTTAATAAAAATTTTAAAAATTCCATTCAATTACATAAAGGTGAAAAATGTTAAGTTATATAATGTCAAAATGAAAAATGTGTATTCCAAATTCTTTTAGAAATACTTAACTGAAAAACATATAGATTATTCTAAGAAAAATATTTTTCAAGATTAATTCATGTACAGTAACAATGTATTAGTATTAAAACTTTGAATGAATGTTCTTGGAGATTAACAGCTTCTTTTCACAACCAGATTTGAGCTTGAGATAACTTATTTCAATTGTTTTTCTTCTCTATGTTAATTTAATTTAATTTAAAACTCTAACCAAGTTATTTTTTCACAGGAAATAAAATTCTAAGGACTAAAATATATAGATTTCACTAAATGCCTCAATAGCAGAAGAGTCTATTATATATGATATTAGCAAAATAATACTATATTTCATAACATTAAATCTAGTAAATTAATTTACCTGTTTTATAATTTTGCTATGTCACTTAATATCTTGGCAAGGTGTAATTTGAAAAAAAAAATGATTGTATTATATTCATATAAAAAATATACATATATATATATATATATACGTTTTATGACCAAACGAATTTTCACATGCAGGCGAAGAAACATAAAGGAGGGGACAAATCTTGGATTCCAAATAGTCCATCAAAGGATGCATTGCTTCATTGCTTCACCAGGAAAAAAAATCATACTTCATTTTATTACCAAGTTTGAAATCACAGACCTTGAAGAGTAAGGACTCCACATATTTGGTTCCGTACCACCTTAGGAGTTCATCGCCTTTGATGAATAGAGGGAAATGGCTCAGCTTACTAGGAATATCTTGATCATTCCTTACTTATCTGTGTTGAGGTTCCCAATCCTCCCACAGAAAGTTTAATTCAGAAACCAGTATCTTCAGAAGCGTGCGGGTGTTTCCCAACAGCCGACATCCTACACATTAATAAGAGAAGGAAATCATCGAATAACGGGTCGTGATGGCTTAGGTTCAAATATGAAGAGTGACATGAATGAGGAAGTTTAATTTCGANAAAAAAAAAACTGGTAGCTGCATCCTTATTTTTTATAAATTAATATTTTTTGAAAAAGTTATTTGGCTTTAAATAAATATATATTATGCACATTTAAAGTGTAATTTTAAATAAAATTTCTTAAAAGCATTTATTTTAATACTTTTAATTTTATATAATAAAAAACAACAGCTTTATAAATATATTATTAAAAAAATTGACATAAATATTATACATTTTAAATAAATTTTACAAAAAATAGTTTATTAATTCAAATGTTTAAAAAAAAAAAATAGTTTTTGTTATGCTTTGATTTAAGATCATAATAATATATTTTATATATGCAACGTTTTGCTTTTGCTGATGTAATTTTACAAAGTAGCATAATATAAATCAAAGTTGACAGTATTGCATAATTTTATGCTGACTTCTAGTACATAAGAAATAATTATAAACTATAATACATGTATATATTAGTAAGAAAAGAAAAAAAAAAGAAAAAAATACTATTGAATAAAAATCAACAATATCAAAATATAAATTGTGATGCATTCTCTCCTATTCAATGCGAAAAAATAGTGTAAAAATTAAAATTTAGTTAAATAGTTAATGCACAAAAGTTATAAATGCACACAATAAAAGAAGGAATAACTAGTGCAGTAGATATTAGATTAGACTTTCAAAAATTTTGTAGATAAAAAAAAATATTTGTTTATATTTCATCCAATTACAATATTGCGAATGCCACTGCAAAGAAAAATGGGTTTTAATTTCAAAAGAAATTATTTATGTGCTATTTAAAGTGAAATTACTTAGTTTATATGTCTGGTATCTTGTTTAATTTATCTGCATTATAAGTGAATTTTATTCAGAGAAAAATATAATATAAAATGTATAGAATTGCTTGGTACTGTGCAATATATTGATACTTGTATTAATTTCATAATAATAAGATAAATAAATGCGCAGTGCTGCTGATTTTATATATTGTGACTGCCTATGCAGTAATGTGCCAATGATCATATTAACTTGTTTGCTATATAAAACATTAAACAATCAAATAAAATTATCTTCAAATTATATCCTAAATAAAAGCAAACGAAAAAAAAAATTACCAAAGAAAAAATTAATGCTATATAATTTATAAGCCATGTAATTGTATATAAAAATGTACAAAAATTGTATTTTCTTTATAAAGCTGAAATCAAAATTTTATTTATAAAATACAGAAAAAACTGCTGTTATATGTGAATTTGATGTAACTGAATTTGCATGGTTGATTAATAATTTTCCTTTTGAGGGACCAAAGGAAACTGTGAATAGTTTATTTGCACATGGCTATGTCTTTAAGAATGTAAATATTAAACAAGGAAAAAAATCATACATATATACATAACTTATACATAACTTATATATAAAGTACAGATATATGTCTGTAAATAATGACTAAACATAAAGTTATATATATATGTATATATATATATATATATTGCTCTCCGAATATTTGTTACTTGAGAAATTACAGCTTTAGCTAAACATATCAAAAGCCTGTGATTTATAAATTTGCCTTAATATTGTTTCTTTTTGTATGAAAATGCTGCAAATGATGATATAAATACAAAGAAGAAAAATGGATTTGTTTTTATGGAAAAAATGTTTCATTCCTTTTTCGGTAACGTTTTAATATTTTAATTTCATAGAATGGACGAGTAAAATAAATGAAAATTTCATGTATCATACACTCATCTAAAATGCAGTATGTATATAGAATTGTTGTGTATATTGAAATAATAAAGCCATCAAAAGAATTTTTTGATAAAATATCTTCATTTATAAACATGTATATCTTCTTTTTTTAAACTTCCAAAATACATTTGGGTCTTAAGAATACAACACAATTGATATTGAGTTTATTTTTTGATTTTATAAACTTTTGACAGGTTTTTTTATTATTATTTTAGTGAATAGCATACATAAAAAATTGAATATATTATAAATAAAATTATTCTAGTATGTACTGTACTGTACAGTACATAACCGTAAGATCCTACGGACGGTTATAATTTCGTTATGATTCCAATACGGGCAGAAGCAATAGGATCGGCCAGCTTGAATGAAGAATAGGGAACAATCACAATATTTAGGATAAATTATAAGTAGGTTCTATCGGATTTGAAATAAGATCCCTCTTTCAAGTAGAATGACACTTTATTCCGCTACCATCTGCTCAACTCTCGTACAGTATTCCTTAAATTAAATATTTACGTAATACTCATCACTATTAATTATCGTGTAAACATCTTTTCCACATTAACTTACTCTTACATCGTGGAGTTCATTTAATGTAACTCAGTGCACTTATGTTGATGTTGTTAATTGAATTCATCCTTGTACAGTTTGTTTTATTCATTAAATTTATATCCATCTTAGATTGCGCTTGAAGAGAACAAACTAAAGTTTTTTTCAAATTTATTCTCTTACACTGTATTTTCTAATTTTATATGCAATAATATTAATTTTACCTCATAGTGGGGTTTGGATTTTTAGGCAGTTTCAGCTAAGGAAAAAGTTAAGCAAATATGCCATTGAAATCCTAATCAAATGAAATAAGTAAAATAGGTAATGTGAAGTTTTATTCATGTCGAATCTCACCAAGACCACGCACACGGGGGTTTAACAATTCAATTATGAAGAATTAAAAAGTAAATAAAGAATAACGTATGTTTATTTTATACCCATTCAATTCCTCCCTAGTCTACTGTATTGTGTTACTCTATACCTATATTGTAAAAATAAATAAATTATGTTATGTAAAAAATAATGTTTTTTAAATCCTTTTAAAAATCCTGCGCGCAGGCCTGATTATTATTACACTATGTAACAATGAACTTTACTATATATTCAGTGTTATATTGACACTGTTCTGTAGCCGAAGAATAAACCACTGAATCCTGGTAGTTTATCACGGATTCGTGCCTCGCCAATAGGCTAGCCATGTGGAGTTTACCAGATTTCCTCCACGTGTCTAACATCTAAATAGCAGCCTATTTCCAGTGCAAAGTCCTCCCTGGAGACATCTCTCTCATGTTCCTTATTCCGTCAATTCAATTCATATTTATGCCTGACGTGCTTTTTATAAACGGAAATTGAGTTTAACGTCACACGAAGCATTGTAAATGGAGCAATTTTAAAATTGAGAATAAGTTCTACGGGCGCAGGGTTTTTCTTTTAAATACTGATCAGTTTTTGTGATTCTTTGTTAAATGAGTCCATAGCTGGAATATCAATAGAATTATAAACGGACGTCTTTATTGTTTTCATTGAATCGTAGAGTGCTAATCCAGCCGTTTCTAACTTCTCAATGCTGCTAACTAAAGTGAAAAATACCCCACATTTGATACAGAATTCTTAAAAATTTACAATTAATCCTTTGGAAGTTAGCTTATTTATAATCTTAATATAAAGCAATATGTGAACATCAATCCACCATTAAAAACCTCGCTAGTTTGGTATGATTCGTCTTTTCTATAACCTTGAAAGCAAAAGGGGGTGTATAAAGATCGTCCTTGTATTTTCGATT